TTTCGGCGTCGTCGTCGCCCAATTTCGGCGTTGTGTCGACCTGTGTCGCTACGTGGTCGCTCCCACAAGCACCCCAGACGCACCGCCCCCTCGCCCCGACGACTTTAATTCGGCGTCGTCGTCGCCCCCCCCCCCCCCTCTCCCTCTCCTCAGCAGCCCAGCGCGCTGCCCCCTCCGCCCGACCACTTTATTTCGGCGTCGTCGTCGCTCCTCCCCCTGTCCTTTTCCCCAGCAGCCCAGCGCGCCGCCCTCTCCGCCCCGACCACTTTATTTCGGCGTCGTCGTCGCCCCCCCCCCCATCCCCCTCTCCCCAGCAGCCCAGCGCGCCGCCCCCTTCGCCCCGACCAGTTTATTATCTTGCACAGCTGTGCTCTAGAGCTCGGACCTCTTTATTTTCGTTCGTTCGTCGTCGTCCCCGGCCCCTGGTCCGGTCCCGACCCTGGACCCAACCTCCCCCCCCCGTCCTGGCCTCAGCCCCCCTCGCCCCGCTGGCCCTGGCCCTGGACCCAGCCTCCCCCCCACCCGGCCCTGGCCCCAGTCCCCTTCGCCTTGGACCCTTTATTTTCGCTCGTCGTCGTCCCTGGTCCGGTCCTGGCCCTGGACCCAACCTCCCCCCTGGTCCTGGCCCCAGCTCCCCTCGCCCCGCTGGCCCAGGGCCTGGACCCAGCCTCCCCCCCGCCGGCCCTGTCCCCAGTCCCCCTCGCCCTGGACCCTTTATTTTCGTTTGTCGTTGTCCCTCTGGTCCCGGCCCTGGACCCAACCTCCCCACCTGGCCCTGGCCCCAGCCCCCGTCGCCCCGCTGACCCTGGCCCTGGACCCAGCCTCCCCCCCGGCCCTGGCCCCAGCCCACCTCGCCCTGGCAACCCTTTATTTTCGCTCGTCGTCGTCCCTGGCAGCTGGTCCGGTCCTGGCCCTGGACCCAACTCCCCCCCTTGCTGGACCCTTTGTTTTCGTTCGTCGTCCCTGGTCCGACTCTGGCCCTGGACCCAACCTCCCCACCTGGTCCTGGCCCCGTGGAGCCCCCCTCGCCCCGCTGGGTCCCTGGTCCGGTCCTGACCCTGGACCCAACCTCCCCCCCTGGTCCTGGCCCCAGCTCCCCTTGCCCCGCTTGCCCAGGGCTTGGAACCAGCCTCCCCCCCGGCCCTGTCCCCAGTTCCCCTCGCCCTGGACCCTTTATTTTCGTTTGTCGTCGTCCCTCTGGTCCTGGCCCTGGACCCTGCCTCCTCCCCTGGCCCTGGCCCCCCGCCCCCCTTGCCCCGCTGGCCCTGGCCCTGGGCCCAGCCTCCCCCCCCCGGCCCTGGCCCCAGTCCCCCTCGCCCTGGACCCTTTGTTATCTTGCGCAGCTGTGTTCTAGAGCTCGGACCTCTTTATTTTCGCTCGTCGTCTTCGTTCGTTCGTCGTTCGTCCTCCCCCCGGCGGCCACAAAAATAAACTCCTGGAGGAAGGAGGCGAAAGCCTCCTGTCTCTCGCGGCTCCTTAGTGCAAGAGCCAGGGCACGCGTGCCACTTGTTTTTCAATGGTGTTTGAAGGAGTTTTGCCTTCTCGCCTTCTCGGCTAGCCGACGCTCCAAGACGGCCGCAGAGACCCACAAGACCGCCCCAGGACGGCCCAACAGGCCTCCAAGCGCGTCCCCAGACGGCCCAGTGAGCCCCAAGATGGCCCAAGAGGCCCAAGCCAGGTCCAAGAGGGGGTCAAAGAACAGGGAAAAACCCTGGCATTCCGAGCCCTGGGCCCCCATAGCCCACACAAGGCCCCAAGAGCGCCCGAAGACGCACCGAGGAGAGCCCCCAAACGGACCGAGTGCCCCGGGATGGCTCCAGAGGCGCCCGAGACTTCTTGCGGGACACCCAAGACAACCCGAAGAGCGCCCAATAACGGCCCAAGATGGCCCCAAGACGGCCCCAAGATGGCCCCAGCGGCGCCCAAGACGGCCCGACAGGGCCCCAAGACGGCCCAAGAGGCACTCCAGATGGCCCAAGAGGGCCCCGAGAGACCCCCAGGAGGACGAAAAACGGCCCCCAAACGGCCCCCAAGAGGCCTTGAATGCTTCCTGTTGAGGAGCGTCGAACTTCCAGCGTCGTCTTGGGGACTTTTTGGACCCTCTGGGAGCCATCTCTAGGCTTTTTGGGGACGTTTGGGGGCGGTGCGCTCGAACGGTCGCTTCGTATCCTCGCATCGAGGCCCGTCTTAGGGAGTTCGTGGGGCCCTCTTGGGCCGTCTTGGAAGCCTCTTGGCCCGTCCAGGAGACTTTTTGGGCCGTCTCGGCGCCTTCTTGCGGGCCTCTTAGGCCGCGCCCACCAGTCCCATTCTCACCGCACTACCAGATAAAATTATCATTCGGCCCTGGCGAAGAGCAGATACAATTATCACGGCGACCCGCCCCGCAAAAACTATTACGAACACAGAGCGCGGCGTGAGAAACAGCTACATCATGTCGTGCATGGGTGTGCGTCCATTGATACCGCCTCCACCATCGCGTTCCTGCCTTCAGGCCTGCCTGCCTGCATCCCTCGCCGACCTCGCCCTCCAGCGGCCACATCCTCCATCCATGCCGTCCCCTCCAACCTCCCCCCCCCGCGAGGCCCCCGGGACGCTCCACTTCCACGTCCACGCCATGGCGGGCAGATTCCGCGGCCGGAAGGCCGCGGGTCAACCCTAGTCAGCTACAGCGCTGGGATCAGCGCGTGCGAGAAGGGCGAGCAGTGGCAGCGGGCGCTGGCGCTGCTGAGCGAGATGCGGGAGGCGAAACTAGAGTCCGACATCTCTTCTCTATGGCAGACGGAAGCGCGCGCGAAAAGGTCGTGCACTTTGCGCTCCCTGGAGGGTCATTGTTCGACACCCCTCACGCAAATCCTGGCCCCCGAACGTCACAAATCGAGCCCTCCCCCCAAAGACGCGCCGAAGTGTCCATCAGAGGCTCCAAGGAGCGTCCAAGAGGCCCCCTAGAGGCCTCCTAGAGGACCCCACCAAGGCTCTAGAGGCCTCTAAGAGCCTCCAACAGTCCTCCGAAGCATGTCCCCAGAGGCCACAATCCTGATTTCTTTATTCCCAACATCCAGAGTGGGGTTTTTGTTTTCTCTGGACACCTCGCGCAGGAACCTCACCTGACCTCACCTCACCTCCCACCCCTCTCCCCTTCACTCACCATCATCATTACCATCAGCATCACCACTCATCGTCACTACTTATCATCATCCTCATCATCGCCACCATCATCATAATCATCACACGCATTCGCACTCACACCATTATCATCCTCATCATCACCAACATCATCATCATCATTCGATCAATCATCATCATTATCACATGCATCATCATCACCACCATCATCATCATCAGTAAATCAGCATCACCACTCATCATCATCACCACCACCACCATCATCATCATCATCAGCATCATCATCAGCATCATCATCATCATCATCATCATCATCATCATCATCATCATCATTATCATCGTCATCGTCATCATCCTCATCATCGTCACCATCATCATCACTCGATCACCTACTCACTCATCATCATCACTCACTCACTCACCCACCCACGCACCCACCCACTCACTCACTCACTCACTCACTCACTCACTCATTCATCACTTCGTCATCACTCACCCCCTAGCTTGAATATGGATGAAGTCTCAACCGGGAGCCTCGTCTGTGAGTGAATTGTGAGGAAGTCTCAGGCAGGAACCCCCTGCCTATGGGTCCCGCACTTCCTGTTGGTAATCCGAGCGGGTCATCCGAAACGTGTAACTGTCTTCACTTTTGGGTTCCTCTTGACTGAATTTTGGGGAAGTATTCAGCGGGAACCTCATCTGTGAGTGAGTTGTGAGGAAGTCTCAGGCGGGAGCTCCCTTCCTATGGGTCCCGCACTTCACGTTGGTAATCCGAGCGGGTCATCCGAAACGTGTAATTGTCATCACTTTTGGGCTCCTCGGGTCTGAATTTGGGGGAAGTATCAAGCGGGAGCCTCGTCTGTGAGTGAATTGTGAGGAAATCTCAGGCGGGAGCCCCCTCCCTATGGCTCCCGCCTTTTGGGCCAAAATTTAGCCTCCAGCTCCCTGCGCGGCGACTCTCCGCCATGACAGGTCCCGCATTTTATGGTGGTAATCCGAGCGGGTCATCGGATTCCTGTGACTTTCGTCACTCTTTGGGCTCCTCAGCTCCTGCGGC